ATAATTGGCCCTGATGTTTTAGTCCACTTGTTTTGAGACAGATATTTTAATAAGACTGTTCTATCTGTGCTGAACAGCTAATGGAAGCCTCTGGATGAAGAAAATTTATTATGTTGAATGGTGGTTTCTGCAGTAGCTCTCTAGTGAATTCCTTCACCAGTCACTGTTGGCTGCAATTATTTGTGTCTCCTCACCCTGTTGACTTCCTCATTATTTTCAAATCCAGGCTTTTCTCACTGGCCTAGAACTTCTGACTTTGCTTAACAAAATAATCAAATCTCTGTTCCAAAGCCCCCTGACTTCTGGGATATTTTCATAACTGAAAGTAAAATATATTAATTGATGATGCATTTATTTTTTTAAACAGTGCAGAACTAAGCAATATAAAATACTTTTGCAGCTGAAAGATGATACGATCTTGGAGAAAATTTTAAAAATTGTCTTTTTTTTTTTCTTTTAAATGAAGGTTTTGGTTTTATCTTGACTTCTAGGTTACACACCAGCTTTGGCCTGTGCACCCAATAAGGATGTGGCTGATTGCCTAGCTCTCATTCTGGCCACGATGATGCCTGTTTCATCAAGCAGCACATTACCTTCCCTTACATTCAATGCCATTAATCATTACACCAACACCTCAAAAACTGTCACCTTTGATTCCTTGCCAATCATGAGGAGTGACCATAGCTCTTACTGTAGTTTCAACAACATTGGCAGGGAAGATGGCTACCCATATACAGAAGAAGATGAACTCAATGACTCAGATTCTGAGACCTATTGAAAGCTACGTTTTGTAGGTCGGAAGAGTGAACCCTAACATTGGAAGGTCAGACTTGTGCTTTTGGGAAAAAAAGCAGTCAGAGTTTGCATACAAAAACAGGACAGACCTTTGAGAAGATGTTTTTTATTGCGGTTGCATATGAAAAACCTGTGAGACTGTAGGAGGATTTTTAAGAGAATATTTTGCAGAAGAAGCATAAATTCTTGAATAAGTACTTGGAATCCATGGCAAAAAAGTAAAATAAAGAATGTCAAAACTGTTTTATTTAATTGTATTCTACCATTCTGTTTCTGGTGCCAGAAGGAATTTCTGCAGACTGGGCACCCTACATGATGTAAATGAACAACGCTATTGTACAACACAAAGGATGCTAGATTTAAATATTATCAATAAAACTAAAACCATTTTGAAGGCAATAAATGAGTTTGGTACAGTAGGCATTGTTTGTGCTGCAAATTGCCAAAGGACCAAATAACTTAAAGATTTTTTTTTTTTTTAAATTAAACACCTTTTTGTGGAAACTGGAACAGGTTAATTGAGAAATTGTTTTAACCAAACCTTAACTACTTCTGGGAAAGAAGCTTAGATTTGATTTTAAATGTTGTGGGAATTTTTTTGTGGTTTTTTTTTGTTTGTTTTTTAATCATCTAAAAGCCTTCCGACACTATTAAATGTACCATGAAAGAAAGCAGATGTATTTTAAGTTTTCTTTTCTTTTTCTTTTAGATGAAATGAAAATGAACTTGTCATACTTTTATAATACTAAAAATAAACCAGCTAACAAGGTGCAGTCAGGGTGAAACATGTACAGTGTAATAAACAAGGGAAGGGGTGGGAGATCTGGGAGGGACGCAGTAATTGTTGCACTGTTTTAGATTTTTTAACTTTTAGGTTTTGGATTGAAATTTTTTTAATTTAAAATACACAAGAGTAACTTGGAGTATGAAACTGCATAGAAAATTGAAATGAAATGTCTTGATAACCTTGTTGTGACTGAGTTCTTTTCAACAATTTGTCCACTTCCTTACATCATAAGTCGTATTTACTATTAAATTTGTATGTCCCTATCACTTTTTCTTATAATCCTGGAGTTACAAGGGGTGGGGAAGGGAGGTGAATTTAAAAGTAAGTTTCCCTATTAGAAAGAAGTACAGTGTCTGGTCTGTGGGAAGAGCTGTGTATCTTTGTTGTGCTCCATTTAGAAAATAAACAGCAGAAACAGGTCCCTGTAATGTAGTTCAGACTTACCCGAAGATTTTTTCTTTTTTTAATTTATAACAGACTACTGTGTTTTTTCAATTGCCTGAAGAATGAAAGACTGACATAAGCTGAAGTTTTGTCTGTTAAATATGAGTATTTACTTTATTTGGTTCTGCTTTAAATATAACTGTTACTTTTTAAGTGAAATTGTTTATGTACATGCAAGAAATTCTTGCATGTCCTAGTAAATTACAAATAAATTACTACAAACTGAGTCTAATTTCCTTTTTATCCTTTTTGTATTGTGAAACTGGAAATCTTTATGATATTGTAAATTATCAGCTGGTTTTCTGAACATAGTGTGGAAACATGGGACAATATTTTGATCTATTTGATAATTTTGTGGGTTTTTTGAAAAATTAATGAGCATGTACATAGAAATAGTGACTGCTTGAATACTGTATTTACCTGCACTCTTTCAGTACATCAAGATTCCTGTATATTTTATGGAGTATAATAAAACCCAAATGTGAGTTGTACTAATGAATAATTTATTTGTATCTATTAAGCAGTAATGACAGTCTCTTTTGTTGAAATGATAGAATTTATAGAACCTATTTTGCAAAGGCTCTGCCATCCTTTTAAATCTAAAATGAAGGTGAGCTATTCAAATTTTGAAGTAATTTTAAAGGAATAATTAAGTAATTTAACATTTAGGTATCCTTGTAAGAACTGCTTTCTTAATCATTTCTGCCTGTGGTCATTGTTTATATATGCAATATGTTGTTTGTCTTTCAATGGAATGAGATGACTTGAGGGAGGTCATGATTTCTCCATTGTTACCTCTAAATCTTTCAAAGTGTAGGGGTAGGAGGGAGGGATTTATATGCCTCAACTGAGGATGCAGGCAGCAGTCGAAAGACCTGTATAAGCCAGGTTTGAGATTCACTACATCTATTTAAATAACAAGGTTGAAACGACATGGACTCATTTTCCCTCATAGTCTTGTGGAAAATCTGAATCAGATTGCCAAGTAGCGTGCTTCTTATTTAGAAGGTAACACTTGTTTATTTCTGTTAATGAAATGTCTGATTTTTGTTGCTCCAAAGCAATTGTGAGAACCTGGTATTAAAGGCTGTTATTATCTATGCTTAACTTTTATTCAGCTTCAAGATGGCCTGTTGCCATATGGCAATGTATAGGACAGGACACTCCTACCCTATTCAAAAAAATACCAGGCCATCAGAGACTGAGAACACTTTGTATTCACTGCTTGCCTGGGTAATTGAGGAGAAAAAGCTCAGGTGTTGATTCAAAAGATAGTGATTTGGATATGGAATATAGGCAAACGCAGAAAACAGTGCCGTAGAACACCCTTGTTTCCTTACGGCAGTCAGAAATCGTGCTTTTCCCAATTCCGTTACTATTCACATCTTGAGTAAGTATGCTTTTTTGCTGCATTCAGTAGCATTATTGTAAAGTAAAAAAAAAAAAAATTTTCCAAACTTGTTTTTAAAGCTAAAGATCCGTCTGTTTTTTATTACAAATTGGTAATCCCATTTTAGGGATTCAGAATTACTTCTATGTTTTATCCCGTGAACCCACTGATTTAATCTTGCATGTGTTTGGACATTGCTATTTAAAAAAAGGGGTGGGGGGGCAGGGGGGATTTCTAATATCTTGCAGTATGAGTAGGACAGTAATTGTGTCTTGTAAGTGAAAATATGGGCTATTATGTGAGGTTAAGAAACAGAAGGTTTCTTGTTTCTGCAAAACAACCGAAAAAATGCTCTCTGTGGATGTTCTATTTAAAAAAAAAAAAAAAAAGGCAATTTTTACACCTGAATGGAAGCCTGTTTACTTCTAGAAACTAATACGGGATCTTCCGTCTTTCTAAAAGAACTCCTTTTTTGTAGGGGTTAATCGTGCATGGTTATTGTTACAGCCTTCATCCAAACAATCTCTTGGATTTTCACCAAGAGAGCAGTGTGACTTGGCTAGATGACTGAAGTAGCATATTGGAATAAAGGACACCCTTTTTGTGCTTAAAAAACACTTCAGGAATGAGAACCACCAGGTTTGCTCAGTCTTTTCTGTCCTCTGACTTATTCTATGATATTTTAGGGGTTCAGATTATTGGCTAGTCACCCAATATTAGAATAGCTCTATTTTCACTCAAAGATGAGGGTGGAAAAAGTTACTTGTCGGTAATTCTTCATGATGTATAGTACTGTCTGTTCCACTTTTTCCACTGTCTTTTAGTTGATTGCTGCTTTTTTGGGGTGGGGGGAAGGAGAAAGGGTGTGAAAGCACACCCTAATAAATTTACTTGTGTCATCAGGGAGGAAACAGAGCAAGGTGCCCTGTGCAAAATGTTAGGCCAGAATATCTTATTTTCTAGTAGTTGTGATGTCCCTAACATCAGAGTAACTCTGCACAATACATGTACTTTGTAAATATCTTGCAGATAAATGCCATTTTTTCCCTTAAGCCTAATAAATATGTGTAATACTTGCTTAAAATATGTATCTTTACTTGCTTGGCCTAACTTATTATGATATAACTGTTTGCTTTGGAACTAAATACAAAAAGTGTATTTGAGCAAAAGAATGCACGTTTTTCAAGCTACAAAGTGGAGTGGGGAGGCAAGTACTGATGGTTGAAATTCTTTGATCATTCATTATTCCTTTCTTTTAGACATTATCACTATCGTGCTAGAACCATAAGCACAATGAACAACATGAATGCTCTTCTGCTTTGTTCTGGAATTTCTGCAGCATTTAGCAAGAACACCTCTGTGAGTGCCAAACAATTCATGATTTCTAATAAAACCTCGGCAGGGAAACCTACTTTTACATTAGCAAACTTCTACCTAATGAGAAAGAGAAACTCCCCTTTCCATACTTCTGTGCAATACATGTTGCAGGATAAACAAACCTGTTATGTTGCTGTATCAGAGCTGAGTGCGACCAGGTCCTGGATCACAGTGAGGTAGCTTGAAGAAGGAGAGTTTGACAGAATATGGGATTGTAAATATGTATATATTTATTACGACAATTTCTGCATTTCTCATTAAAATAACAAAGTTGAAATGTAATTCTTCAGCAGTCATCAGCAAACATGAAAGAAACCACAACTGGCTGCATTTTTTACGCAGCAAGATTAGAGCATGAATTCACTCATTCCATTTAATTGAATTTCTGCTAAGTTGAAGGGGGGCAATCACCCCTTTGAAATTCACAGCTAGATTTAATAATAAAAGCAAAAGTGGAATCAGCAAACGTATGCTGAGGAAGAAAGAGACTTGATTTTAAGATAGCCCTAGCTGGGACCCCAGAAAACCCAAAGGATTATAAATGAAAATAAGAAAATTCAGCTAAAATAAGAAACATTATTTTCCTAATACAAAGTATCTCGATACATTATGATGAGCTCTTGGTTTGCAAGGCAGTTCTGTTACTTCTGGTAGGATGTGAGTTTCCAAGATGCAAACTATGATTTACAGCCTTTTAGATTTAGTACTTTATCATTTCAAACGTGAAACGTAACAGGACAGTCATGTATAAGCAAATACCTGAAGTTCTAGGAAATATAGACGTCCAACAACTCATGTTAAGATATATGCTTTGAAAATCTGGGCGCTTGTTTTCTGATTCAGTCAAATATCTGTGCTAGTCCTTTTCATACCATCGTCCATATAGAGCAGCTGTCAGCAGGCCAGATGATGTTCTATTTTTGCTTATGAAATAGTGGTTGTTTTTCCAGCCCATGTTGTCAGCAAAGTCCAAAGTAATACCAGATGTCAGCAGTAAAGGAAAGATATAAGGAGTACTCATATTTGCCCATAGCTGGAAATCTATCACAGCAGTGGCATCTGTGACCTCCTGTCCACAAGTGCTAAAGCTGAGACCACCGCACTTTACTAATGCACAGGCCTGAACATAGTACGTGCCATGCACTGTATGGAGCCCATCAAAAACTCCCAAAGCATATAATTCATCAGTTAAAACAGCTCTCTGATAATTTAAGTAACAACAGAGGGTGTTGGCACAAACCTCAAGGTCTCCTTTGTTTCCCCATACAGGAACAAAAGTGAAATTGTCATACATCATTTCTGCATAAAATGGGGGAGATGACTCTTCATTTCCTTTCTCTGATACTCTGCAGGGGGCCTCTTGTTCCTCCTTGTAGCAAACCTGATCATCTGTTGAGGTGCTTGTAAACATCTTGTATGAGTGATATAAGTTCTCTCTGAATATTTTGTTACTCTCCAGATGATTGGTTTTGTAATCTGCAGTAACCACTGGGATTTCTGCCACGATGAGTTTGCCACCAAAACTTTTCATGTTGTGGTAGATGAATGATTTCACTGGAGTGTATATGCCACTCCCTGTCATGCCCAGGGTAGGGTGGTGGATGTTAGCTGCTAAAATATTGATGTTGAAAGCTGTTGCAAAAGCTTGCTGAAATTCTACAGCAGACAGGAGTGGGAGCTGGTTCATCCAAGCAGTTGGATATACAACTTGTTTCACATTGTATTGTCGGACAAGGTTCACTGCAGGCTCAAAGAAGAGTATATCAAAGCAAGTGAACATGCCAAACTTGCCAGCAAAAGGGGTATCGAAGAGTGTATAGTCAGCCTCTGGAGGGGCATCAAAAGCGTATTCAAAATACAGATTGCGTTTGCGATATGTAGCTACCAGCATACCATAGTCGTTGAACACCACGTTGGTATTGAACTGGTATCTTCCATCAGATGGACAGTGAGGATCAACGTGCTCACACGGTTCCTTAGTTCCTAAGTTTGCCACAAGGAATATTTTGTTCTTCAGTGCCATGCAGCTTAGCCGCTGAAGAACCTGGATAGGCAGTTTGGGAAAATGTAAACACTTCAGAATATAGAGGGCTAAGTATTACTTAAGCAACTATGACATACTTAACACTTTTCAAATAATAATTTTCAACTGAAAGTTGAACCCATTTAAACTTATCTGTAAAGTTTAAATATACTCATGATTTTGTGGTGAAAGCTATTAGAACAAGTAGCTCTCTAAACCAAAAAGTGTATTTCAGATACCAATTTCAAAATATCTTTGGGGAAAAAAAATCGTCTACGTTTTACTTCCAGAGAAGTGGAAAAAAAAAAATCTCTCTCTCTCTTTCTATGTGTGTATAACCTTGAAGAGTTGGAATTTTCAGAAAATTCTGATTGTTGTGGGAGCATCAATGGCTGAAAACCGCTTTAGGTGAACTGAAACCTTTGACAAGATAGCACAACTTAGATCTGTGTGTGGATTTAGAAAAGCAAATCTTGAACTGTGATCATTTGCCCCTGTAACTGTTTTGTTCCTGCAACTAGATGTTTTATTCTAAATACAAACACAATGTAAGTGATTAATAATAATAACTTGCAGAAGCAGAGCTATAGACTGGTGGGTTTTGCTTAGTTATAGAAAAGAAATACTGAAAGTTACAGACTGTGATGCTGTTGGGAGGTTTCTTCCAAGCTGTGGAAAGATGTACATTAAATGCTGTTCATTTTCTTTGAGGATAAGGGTGTCCAGTACAAAGCTCCAGCTATCGCACCATGCTGCAAACTCTGAACAAATAAGCCATGTTGTTAAGGTTCATCTCCCAAGCTAAGTAATGCTGCTGAGCAGCTAAGTCTATTGCTCAGGCAGAACAACATATATTAGTTTCGGAGACCCAAGCCTCTCTGGGTTTCTTTACTCTGTACCATGCCATCCAGACGTATCAGCTACCTTAAATCAGACTGAAGGGAGGTTTCTGAATAGTTTTTCAGGGTATGATGGTGTATCATTGCAGCTTAAAGTTACACATTTTATATAAAAGTTGCATCTTGCATTTTCTGTAGTTCTGCTGAAAATGGGAAACTGCGCATTAGGGTGAGTGCTAAGAGACATGAATAGCATAATGGAGGGGAATTAAAACATACTGCTGTTTTATCATCTTTTAAAGAAAGCAGATAAAGGCATATTTCCTTACAACAGAATCTTACATTTATTAAAAAACAAAAAAACAAACAAACATTCATGCATGTATTCTATGTCTGGATATCAAGCTTGTTCAGGCTAAGCACAGCAAAATCCAAAGAACTCCCACACTGCAAACTTCAAATACGATCTAAGTGTCAAACTAAATTCGTGATTGCTTGTGTATGATCACTGCTAATGAAGATGCATAGGCCAAAGTAGGTCATCAGTTACAACTGTGATTCACATTTGCACGCAAATTCTGCCTTCTTAATAAGCAATCGTGCATATGTGTACTTTCATTATATTGACTACTACAGCCTTAATAGGAGTAAATAGCTTGTATTACTAAGGATAGTTATTTTCACTTCAGGTGCAGAGGAGTAGGTGAAACTACTACTTTGTAACTTGCAGACCACACCTTCTGTAATCACACTTGAAGTCTGTGATAAACTGTCATCTAAATCCAAGGACTTCTATTGCATGACAGCAGGGCTTTTGATCCAGTCCTGTTACTCGTGTTAGTGATTTTACATGCAATCACGGAATCAAAATGTTCTGATGTCATTAAAACTGAGTAACGAGAATGCATCAAAAAGGAAGATACAAGCATGTTATTTTATATGAAACAATGTTGTTCAAAATAAAACCCCCAACTACTAACAATTTATCTCATTAAATAGATAGTACTATTACCTAGGCTTTGGAGCGGGCGGAGTATAGAAGCCCAGATAGCTCATAAAGTTAAAAATGTTCTTTCAGGTATGTGCATAAAATCCTCCACTGTTAAGAATGAAACTAAAATAAACTGAGAGTCCATGAAAACAGAATCTGACACCATGAATTGTTGTACTTCTTGCCTCCATTAAAAAAAAAAAATAGAGCTGGTTTTCCCACTTGCAGTACAAATCTAGCATTTACTATTCTACTTCTCTACGGAAAAAAAATCCTCCATTTACCTCTGTGTCATTGAACAAATGCGGCTCTCTGCATGGATTCCATTTCACAAAGCGCGAATGCAGAACAAGATCTAAGTAAGGATAAATACATCTTCTGGTGAAGTTGAAGCCATGGATTCCATCTTCAGGGAAAACAATGATCTGTGCCCCCTGCATGTAAAACAAAGGCATGTTTTATAAGGATAGCAAAAACAACCTAAATGCTAACAATGAAAGAAAACAAAAGGGAATCTCTTCAGGTAACTTTTGGGGCTAATTAAAGGTAAGGATAACCTAAGTATGTTTTGACCTGAATGTCATTTGAAAATATCTTTACTTCCTTTGACAGCACAGTAGCTGTAACTATGTGTATCAGAAAAAGCTTATTTAACCTGACATAACTTTAGCATAAAAAAAAAAAAAACTGACAGTATTCTAAGGGCTTGCAAGTAAGAGTAGCCTTCATCCAAATTCTTACCAGAAATACTCTCCGTCACTCTGAGTCATGAGAATGACACCATTCAGGTTTAAGTGTAATCATTCAGGTTAAAGACTAGTGATGTTAAAAATTGTGTTTGCTCTCTTAAGCATTAACCCATTTGCAGATGAACTGTGTCAAAGGTGTTGTAGCACTTGCGTCAGTTCTGTGCAGATTCCCTTTGGTCAGAAAGGGTTTCCTTGCTTAAGGTATATAGGGCTGGATAGGGTACTGGGAGTACTGTTTTCAGAAACAGCTTGAATGTGGAAGCAAGTTGCATTCCAGTAGTGATGTAGCCCTGCCAGAGCTAGGTTAGGTCTACCTAGAGTTCAAGGAGATCTGTTCCTAAAAATTTGGTGGATTCCTCTTAAATCAGGCACAGCATCAGCCACTCAAATTCCAGTAGGTTTTCAAAAGTCAATTCAAAAGTGTATCTGCGCTATGGCTTTGGGGTAGTTTATATCATCTTGGATGCAGTACTGCATAAAAATAGTTAGGCTTCTAGTCTGTGAGGCCCAATCACCTGAACTTCTCAGAAAAACATCCACCTTTTCAAGTTACATAAAAATGCTAATTCTTTTATTCCAGAATGACAGATTTGTGAAACTTGCAAGTCAGTTCTTCTCTGCGTAAGGACACTATGGCCTACTTTCTCTGACTAGCACCAGCTTTGGTTTTCCTTGAGGAGAGAGGAGAAGGAAGCTATGCGTAAGAACAACCAGAAATATTATTCTCTCTCCTCTAAATATATTTAAACAGAGGACCATTCCATGGAGAAAGGAATGGAAAACTTTGCTTCCACAAAGCTGTTAATGGTGGAATATTGGTTTCCAAAGCATTGAACGCCTTTAGTTTTTAGAAACATTCAGGAATTTCCATTGAGAGCACTGGAATAAAATTAAAAGACTGCTGCCTGTATGACACCCTTTCAATAAAAGCATTCCATTTATGAAAACAAGATAGTCAAACCAAAATAGAAAATCCATTTCTCTATATTAAATAACTAGGGGCTTGTCTTTCCAAGCCTCAAATAACTCAGGTTTGGCAAGTTGCTAATTGGCCTGATTTTTTTCAGAGCTGCTGGCAGGTCAGAATGACTGAAAAAGCAGATCCCATGTATGTATATAAATATGGCTTTAGTTGCCTGGGAACACAAATGTGGAAAATTATTCTCAAGTAGCACTTGCTCTATATATACATAGGACTACTGCTACCAAGCTGTAACTCACTTGTCCTGCAGCAGCCACTACTTGCTGTTCATAGATGTCTAGGTTTCTGCCCATTAGTTCCAATGCAGACTGTCGATCAACGAGAACTGTTGGGTTAGGACTCAGTATGGACTGGTGTTCATACACAGCAGCAACATAATGCCCCTCCCTCTTAACTCTTCCGGAGACAACTTGATAGCAAAAAAAGCAGACACATAGCCTCCAGCACAGTTCCATCATGATGCATGCCATAAATCTGGAGCAAAAAAAGGAGAGGGGGAAAGTCTGAACAACAAATCGTGCCTGGAATTTACGCTTAAGATTAAACATGGATGTAACTAAGACTCTCAGCAATGTTTGAACTGTGTTCTTTTTAAATTCTGGAGCAAACCACATGCATATTGTTTCTAAAACTTATTTAAAGCACCAACACAGACAGAAGTAGCTGTATCCTGTTTAAAAAACATTTTTGCTGTATTTAGAACTGTATTTATATAGTTGCATTGATCTGTTCTCCCTTTACAATTAACTTTAATCATTTATTTATAGATCTATTGCACAATATATCTAAACATCTTTGGGAAATATTAAAAGCAGCTCACAAATTTGCATTTTCTCCCCATTTGTGTGACAAGGGGGTATATTTATAAATAGCATTTCCTAGAATTACTTGGACACTATATTATCAAGTAGCAATGTATCTTATTTTGTTGATATTGAAACAGATAATTGCCAGAAGAATTATACTAGATACTATTTCTGCATTTATCTGTTCTTCCACCATGGAAATGCCTTTCCTGATGGATTATGGATGGATTCTGTTTCAACTCTCTGTATGTAATAAATACCAACTAGTTTGTTTGATACCATGAGGTGTTTTTTCAACTTCCATAAAAATGTTGAACGCAATTTGGATCCACATTGCTCCTGTACAATGCAGATAGGTAACAAGAAAAATGCTTCCCTAATAATAATAAAGCAAAAATCCATGCAAAATGCAAACCCTTTCATCACTGAGCTTTCTTAGGTTTTCATTCTTCTCCTGTCTGTTTCTGCCCACACTACCCCAATAGTAGCCTTGAAAGGCAGTGGAACAAAATACATGTACTGTATTTTCTCAGTGGATGAATGTCTGTATGCTCCTACTTTTGAGGCTGTGCAACAGAAATAAATGAAAAAGTAATGCGTCTGGGAGGCTGGAGTACTTTTTCCAAATAGGGTCCCCATGTAGACTTTTTGACTTCCGAAATTGTGAAAATACGTATTTATACAAAACAAGGATGGACTGGTTAATGTCTGTGCAATACTTATGAAATACGATATAAATACCACATTCTTCAGAGATATTATTCAAATTAATGAAAACACAATGTGAGAAAACAATAATTTGTCACCATGTGTTACTAGGATCATTAAGAAATTAAATCTTAATCAGTGAAGTTGAAAGAGGAAGCAGGAGATGCACTGATGCTATGTACTGATGGCCCGCAGTCTGCAAGTTCAGTTACTGACTTTTGAGTTGTATTTGCTCTTTGGTAACTCTAGTCCAAGGAAAACAAGCTCCAAAACTTTCTCAGCAATTTTCAATCTCTTTGTGACCCACAAGTCCCTAAAGTTTTCCAAAGCAAATATAGACCCTGAAGATACAGATACGAAGAGCTTTCTCTGTCTCCCATTAGGAATGCAGAGGGAGAAAGAAATCAGTTCTACACTGATCTCATTTTTATTTTTTGTTCATGTTGTGTATGAATGTAATTTTCTACCTCTAACAGAATGTCTGTGGCAAGTTAACGTGAAATCTCATTTCTTAAATTCCAGAATGAAAAGCAGCTAATATGCATCCCTCAATACTCCTGTCCTTACTTTTGTCAAGTGCCAACGGCTTCAGTATCTAACAATGAAAAAAAAATGAAGCGTGAGGAAATCCATTTAAAAAGCATTTGGTAAGTAATATAGTAGTTTAAGCCACTTGTTTACTTCTATGAACTTCAAATGCTATTTGCAACACTGCTTTGATAGCAACACAATCTTGGGTAGGACAGGAAAACCATCATCTTAGCGGCTAGGTTAGCCACTAAGGCAGAAGACTTGTTTGCTCAACTAAAAAGTAATATATGTAGTACTGTATCCCACTTACAAGGGTCCAGGTGTAACTGTACTATTAAATGCTGCTAAGCTCAAATATATATTCATTTTTCTTGAGCTTTAATATGCCTAAGTTACCTAAAGCACAATAAAAACAGAGTAAAAGCATTGACATCTCTGTAAACAGTTGTGTTAAACATATTCAATTTATATAAATATTTTTGAGACGTGATGCACAATAAACTACCTTTGCTATTCTGCATGTTGAGGAAAATACTCAATAATTACAGGGGGTGATTTGGCAATACATATTAAGAACAGAAGATCCTATTTTGTCCTGTGCAGCTCTCTAGCTTTGCAAATGAAATCCGATCAGAATTCTGCAATGCAAAGGTGTAGCTGTATCAAGCAGTAGCGGAAGGGAGAAAAGAGGTGAGAAACCTCTTACAGTTAAGAAAGCCACGGAAAATAAACACTGTGTTGCATTTTACCAACAAAATTATCTTTTTTATTTCTGTTGTCCTTCAGAACCAAAATGCCTGTTTAGGTTAGGAACGGATTTCTAGTCAGCCCTTCCTCAACAAAGCTGTCAACTAAGATGTAATGAGAATTCTTCGACAGTCACGATGGCAAAAGTTGGAGGGTTTCAGATCACAGGGTGAATTTGCCACACATTAGAAAAATATCCTTTTTGCCTTTTAAGTCAAACACTAACATACAAAACTAACACTTAACAAGCTACTATAAAATGTTGCACTTTATAGGCATTCTCAGAAAATTCCCATTTCTAAGCCATGGTTTATCTTCTGCTTGCTGGAAACATTCAAGATACTAACTAGAAACCCTTCGTCTTTCAGATGCACATGGCTACACAGCCTCATGCAGCTGAAACTGTGACAAATAAAACAATCTGACTGATAACTAAAATAATTCCTCTGAGTCTTTACCTTCTTCCTGTCAGGCTTTACTTGTCCTTTAGACGGTGGGTCTCCAAACAGGTCTCAGCCACGTTCTATTTTCCGCCTAAAGGAAAGTGCTACAGTGTATAATAAATACTTTCCCTGGAGAGAAGGTAATTTGTTTAGTGTCTACAGAGCCATCGTCTCACCTGAGCAACATCTTTAAAAGAAATTTTCATAAACTGAAATTCTTCATAATTTAATCTCTCTTCATGTCCCTTTGCAATGATTTATGTAGTCTTTTGCCTGGTAGATAAGCTTCAGTATGATCACCTCACAAACTCAAATATGAGGATTTCATGGCAGGATTATGGTCATGCAGTCACAGCAAGGTAGTTGCAGTATTATACGCAGGAAAAAAGACTGGTGTTTAAATCTGGATGCTAAAGGTCAAGAAAAGTATCCAGATGTTAACTTTTCAACAGCTCTGGAAATTAAATCAAGACAAATTTGACAACTCTCAACATATGTACATGTATACATAGATAAAGAGAGCTAATATATATCCTGCTTATTAGCACTTTTATACTTAGAAGAATCTGAAATCTGTAATCAGAATCAAAAGACTGTAAGAAAAAAAAAAAAAGACACCACTTATGATTGGAAAAAAAAGGACATCACTTATCCTCTTATGATTAACAGTAAATGCGTGTTAAGCTCTGTTAATATAAACAGTAATAGCTGCTGAATATTAAAATTGCTACAAAATGGTAAAATAATCAAAATAGTTTCTTTTATACTGAGCTATATCCATGAATTATGTGATGTTGCTGCCAGTCATTCTATGTAGTGTATGTATGTGATGAATATATAACGCAGCAGCCTTTCTACAGAAATCTAAAAATATAGTGAAATATAAAGGATTTTTTTTATTGAGCCTCCTGTCTACTCCTTTCTTATGCTATACTGTATCTTATTACAGTATTTTACTACGTGAGTTTTTATGAAGTTTAACAACACAATCCTTGTTCAATTAAACAGTTATTTTGCATTTCCATTTCTGAAAAGTGTTTGTTCTGCATGTCCTGCATTATATGACCTTGCTCTAGTTTCCTGGCTTCTATCCAGACAAGCAGTTTTTAAAGAATATTAGCCATTCTAATATAAAGAGCTTTAGAAAAAGCTTTATACGTTTCGCAAGATTCCCACACTCTGCTGGACAAACGTGACTGCACTCACCTAGCACAATCTTAGCCATCCTTCCTTCTTTTCCAGGAGCTTGACAGAAAAGTAATGCAACTGAACACTTTGTTTCACACTTACGACAGGTATGTCACCTAGCTTGTTTACAGAACAAGGCTGAATGGAGTGCTGCTATTATTAGTGGCTCGGCTTGAACAGCTGAAGATGGCAGTACAAACGACAAGACGACGGAGAAGGAAATTCTGTCAACTGCGTTTCCCGGCAAGTGCAAGCTTGGAGGGGTGAGGATGCGTATCGCCAGGAGAAACGGTGCGGGTGACCCTTCAGTTAGGATCTGGAGAAGCAAGATGGGTGGAGCACCTATTTACAGTTCCCTCCTCACGAATGCAGGCGTCAGGTATGTTCATCTAACAGCCGGTACTGCGAGCGGGACAGGTCT